TAGAGAACTGAGTAATCCCCTACTGATAGGAGAGACAATTACATTATCCCATTTCCGTTCGAGACAACTGTACAGCAGGCTTTCAGGCACTTCTCATCTCTTTCTTTCTGTATATGCCTTCTCTAATCTCTTTCTCCGAGTTACTAAGTGCCATTTCTAATTTTGGCTTTTTGCGAGGCCAAGGACAGCTGCGTTTGTCAGGTCAGTCTACCTGAAAGTTGTAACCATAACCTATTATTAATATAGAATATTAATCTAAATAAAGAAAAAGAAACTTTTTTCAAAATGTTTTCTATTTGAATTATAATTTCTATAATCATATCGTTTAAAAATAAATTCGTTTAATATCGTTTAAAAATTAAAAATAAATAAATGTAAAAAAATCATAAAAAAAATTTTTTGCCAAATTAAAATATATATTTCAAAAGAAAGATTGATATTAAGGTCGAGCATATACTTGTAAAGAGTAAAAATAAATATATCTATTTCAAGAGATCAAATTTTTCCAGTTCTCGATGTTCAACAAATAGCATCTTATAGATGAATGTTGCGCGTGAATACATGTATATGAGACGAAACGTTCTGTATATGTGCACATCATTAGGTCTCGGCTACGTGGGCATTAAAGCAACAGATGATACGACGAACATTATTTTTATATTATGAGATAGATAAAGTTGAGGCTATAAAAAATTCATGCTTGCTGAAACAAAATAACAAAATAATACATATAATAGAATAATATATAATATAATATATATAATTATATATATTATATTATATATATTAATATAATATAATAATATAATATTTGTAGCATTTTCTCTCATTTTCTCCTTTCTCTCTTTGTTCTAATGTTTTTGATAAATTTCCAAAATTATTCTAAATTATATTTTCTCTTTTTTACTTCTACAATTTCAGTTTAAATAAACAACGCAATTTTTCAAACTTAATTGAAGTTTGAATTTGCATTCGATCTCTATTTCGAAGAAAATTAACTTAAAAGAATCATTATTTTCTTTATAAACTTGATAGAAACTCGAAAGCGCACTTTCCAAAGATCAAATAAATAAATAGATTTAGATCAAAGTAAAATAGTTTCACGTTACACGAATTCAAGCTTCTTAAAATTGAAGCCTATTTGTCCAATGTTATTAACGCAGTTTTAGTTAGTGTTTTAGAAAGGGCTGAAATAGAATATTTTGAATGTGTATGTAGTTTGATGCAACTGTTGTGCGTGCGTTTCGCCTTGTACAAATACACGTGTGCAGTTAGATCGAGGTTTCTGCCAACCCTATGCGCTATACAGGCGACAAGCAAAAGGGTAGATCGAGGCGCCACAACGCCTAGACCGACGACGCCTGGCGTCGCACGCAATGCACGACTGGTGGTCTCTCTCGCGACAAACACGTCGGGAACCGTGAAACAACGTCGGTACATGCTTTATCAGAATCTTCTACGGCATCGACACTGCCTTCGTTCATATGGCTTCCTAGAAAAACGGCGCGAATACTACCCACGAATATTTTATCTATATCGATTACCATTTTTCCTGCTATTACGTGAGAAATGAACAGGCGTATACGCGTACGTATATAAGTATATACTCGCACGTATATACTTACTACATATATAATGTAATGAACATTCGAATTTGATATTATATAATTTTTAATTATTAAATTTATAGAATATGATAAAATACAGTATTTTTTAATAATATAATTATGAATTTAACATTTGAAATCTCATAAATTGCATTAAAAATCACGTATACCAGATAACTTTCGTTCGTAATTAGCGTTATCACTACTAAATTAACCAAGTTAAAAATAACACAGTTATCAAGCCGCAAAAATTAACTGTTGTAATATAATTGTTTGCAATTTTATAAAACATATAAAACATAACGTTGTAATATAATGATAAGATTAGATTGGATTTCTTCCAAAATCATCAAGATAATAAAATTTATATGAAATTGACAAAAATCTATATTAAAAAAAATTTTATATCAATACATGATAAATTTAATCTGTTTATATTACATTTGTTATAGCAATAGTATATTGCATAATATTAAAAAATAACATACGTAGCCAATCTATTATCGATTGTATTCACGGTTTGTGCACGTACAGTAGATTGGTTTTAATTGCGATGATTTATTTGTCCGACAAAACTTCATTTTATAAATAAAGTGATGGAATATTTTTATTTTATATATATATATATAATTGTCAAATTTGTTTTTTTTAAAGTTTATATTGCAAATTATTTAATTGCGTAATTTTTTTTATTGCATATATGTTTCCTTTTTTTAACAATAATTTTTATATTTTTACAGTGGACTAAATTTCCAAGATTTGATGGCGAGGCAGGGTGCTATTGATTCCCCACCAAAAACTCCTTTCATTATGGGATCCGAGTGCGCAGGTGATATCGAGCAAGTTGGCGAGGGCGTGGAGAACTTTAAAGTAAGTGAACCAAGTGAACTCCTTCAAAATTATGATACATTTATATTGTCTCCAAGTTGTTTTAACAATAAAGAAATTTTAATAATATAGTTCTCTAATATATGCTCGATATTCCGAAATAATTTTTACAAACGTTTTCTTTACGTGCCATCTGTTTCCTATTATTCATCTAATTTTTATAAATTCTTTTTTCAGTTATTTTTTTACGTGTTTCATTTATTTAATTACTTTTCAATATATTTTTAGATTTTTTTCATAAAGAATAAATTTAAATTTAATTATACTTTTTATTAAATATTGATATATTAATAATCTTCTTAAGAAATCTCTCGTTTTTTTTTCCTTTCTTTCTCTCGTTTTTTAAAGAAAAAACCATCAAAGGAAAAGATCTGTAAACCGCCCGTCTCCATCATCAGGCAAAGGAAAAAAAAGAAAAAAGGATTGTTCTACTCTTAGACAGAAAATATCCTGCGGCGTAACAGCATATCCAAAGGAAGATCCGTTCTCGAAATAGTGTACACTCTTTCCGCGTTCAACCCGTCGTCCTTGAATTTTTCACCCATTAATTCTTCCGTAAGGGTGGAGTTCCACGATTCCACTTTCTCGGCTTCGTGAATCGGTATACATCACAGAGGAGAAACAGCTTCTTTTTTTTCCTTTCTTCCCTTCTCTTTTTCTCCGTTTCTCATATCTTGGGGTGGTCTATTTTTAGGACTGGCACAACTCCTCGAGGTCATGCGAGGGGGATACCATGTTTAAGACTTTAGGGTGTTTCAAATGTACGTGTAAATGACCGACGCCAGCGCGTGTATAGCGTGCACAGCAAGTATGCGTGGAAATGAGAAACTTTTCGAGATGGAATATTTGAGCTTGCAGCGCCTCTCCTAACCCAGACCTTTCCTTCCCCTCCGACTTGCTTGCTTCCTCGAGTTCTTGGCATTGTTGCATTTATATGTGGAGAGATATCTCTCTCTCTCTCACACACACACACTCATTCATTTACTTACTCCTTTATAGGATAATCTGCTTCGTCGCAGTGGTTCTCATCTAAACGTTATCGATCGAGTTGTTTGAAAGAGGAGATCGATTTATAAAACTTTTTAAAGAAAAAATATATGAGAAAAGTAAATGAAAAGGAAAGAGCAGTAAGAAAGTTGATGCATAGTAAACATTCAACATTTTTGGTTGCTTATTTTCAGGTGGGCGATCGAGTGGTCGCGCTTCCTGATCACAAGGCGTGGGCAGAGCTTGTCGCTGTACCGGCCACGTCCGTTTTCGCGCTACCAGCCGGAATGAGCTACCTCGATGCAGCGGCGATCACGATGAACTATACTGTTGCTTACATTCTGTTGTTCGAACTGGCTAATTTAACGCCCGGAAAGAATCTGTTACTCCACAGCGCCGGCGGGGGTGTGGTAAGTATTCTTCTGATGTTGCGATAAAAAAGGATCATAAATTATTCAAAGTGGAAAATATTATTTCGAGAAAGACGCCGTAATAAGGAAGTAAGTAAAATAAAAGAAAATTAAAGAAGAATTAAAGAAAAGGAAAGTGATAAAATTAGGCTTTAGAAAATATAAGATAATCGAATTGGGGATTAAACTATTGAGATTAAGTTATATATTCGTTGAATGATTAGATATTGTTTGTTAATTGGCGCAGTCAATTTGTAAGTATTTTTCTGCCTCGTTTATGATTTATTATGGTAATTTAAATATGAAGAAGAAATAATCGAGTACAGAGTTATCCCTTGAAACTTAGTTAGGTATCCGTATAGGATTCTCCAGTAGAAAATAAAATTTGTCGATTAAAGACATAAAAATGTTTCATGCCTTTTTATTATGAAAAAAATGTTGTAACGAGACATCTTTTTCCGATATTACTTTTATTGAAACGTAAATTTTATAAAATCTTATAAAATAACATCCGTTCCCTAAAATAAAAATTCATTTTTCACCATAATTTTTCGAAAGAAAAATTGCATCGTGAAACGGCGAAATGTAACTATAATTCAAGAAAAGAGACAAAAGAAGAGAGAAAGAAGAGATCGCGACAACGTGGTGCAAGGTTACTGCCCCTTTTGCGAAGTCGGCTCGAGTCACATCACAACGCTTTCTCTCTCAATGTCGTCGAAGGAGAAGGCGGGAGCCAGTCGACTACGTCGGGATCAATACGGCTCAACAGGTTACACTCGAAGCTAACTACATCGCCTCGCAACTCTCCCCCACTTCTCTGTGCCTCACCTCTTCCACTCCCCACTCGTCCCCTCTCCCGTAGTACCTCCATCCCACTCAGCCGCTGGTTTGTACACGTCGCGTAGCATCGTTGGAAGTTGAGACGACGAAATCTACGGGGGATGCTGCTACCGCCGCTGGTGCACAAAACGACGGGGGTGTGAGGGTTGCTTGGCAACCCTTCGTTCTCTCATCGACCACCGTGACGGGCCGCGCCCGTCTGAGACCATACCACCGCCATCACTACTACCACCACCACCACTATTTTCCACTACCATCATAGTATCGCGTTAGCACGTGTTGTACATTGCTCTTAAGCCCTGTTCGCATTAACCAATAGTGTAGCTAGTTTGATTGGTAGTTGTATAATTTATTCAGATTGGATATTGAGAATTTTTTTATCATTGAGAAATATAAAGTTAACTACAACGAAAATTTATACGACGTTACAAAGAAATTTTTTTTTCAATTTTTTTTTTATTTTATACGGAAAATAGAACGAATGGAAACAAAGTAGGAATTTATTAAAATTTAAACTTACAAGTATATGCTTAGTAATTTATTTAAGTATATTATGATTGAAAAAGAATTTAGATAATAGAAATCAATGTAGAAAACTGAAATGAATACTTGATTTGAAAAAATTTCTTGATCACTTTCAATTTTTTCTGTTCTATAAAAAAAGAAAAGAATTATAAATTTTCTATTCAATCAAATTAACTTACAGTATAAAAAAAAGGAAATATATTAAGACATTTTCATGATCAAATTAGCCAAATTCATGAAATAAAACTTAATTAATTAATTAAATTTAATTAAATAAGTTATTAAATTTTAAACGGAAGTTATTATACGTATTTAAAAATATCGAGAATCAAAATTTCTCTTAACAAAATAAATAAATGAAATATGTTATTATAAATTATTAATAATACATATAATGGAAAAGTTAAGAATCGTTTTCAATCGATTAGCAATGTGTTATGACGTACAATTTAGAGCGGCTTTTTAACATTCTAGCCCTCGTCCACGCTCTTCCTTTTTTTGCTACTTTTTTACTTCGATCTTTTTTCGTTTTCTTAAATTCTTGTTACTCTTCCCTTCGAGCTTGTCGCTCTGTCTCTATCCCTCTTCTTAGTTACTCAAGGCTCAGGTCAACGTTATTGGGTATCGAATTCTCGACAACGGACAGAGTGGCGAGCCAGAGAGAAAAGAAAAGAGAGAGCTCTCTCGATTCTTGGAAATAATGAATGCTGCTTCTGTTGAGAAAATCTCCAAGATCTCCGCTTCAATTTTTTTCTTTTCCTATCTCGTGTCCTGTTCTGGCTGTTCTTTCGCGATGAAAAGACTTCAGAACATGCTTTTTCCGTCTTTAGCCTGCATAATAGGATTACGAGTTTGATGAACATGATAGGGACAGGCGAATACTAAAAATAATTTAACTATGATTTCTATTGAATTTGAAAGATAGAAATTGTTATATATCTTGTGCAAAAATATTCTCCTACAATAGAATATTCAAAAAAAAATTCATTTAAAGGTGTTATTAGAAGGTGGAAAGCGTCTTATTAAAACTTTTTAACAGATTGAATCATACAAAAGATTTTGATCAACATTCTGTTTGAATTAATAAGGTATTCGAAAGTATGTTTGAAAGTTAATTTTATCATCTAGTTTCTACGTATTTATTTTTAAATTATTTTTAATATATTCTATTTATTAATGTACATCTAATCAATTAATTTTTTTTTAGGGTCAGGCAGTCGTCCAATTGGCCAAAACTGTGAAGGATGTAACCATTTTTGGAGTGTGCAGCAAATCGAAGCACGAAGCACTGAAAGCAACTGGCACCATTGATCACATCTTGGAACGAGGCGCGGACTATAGTAACGAAGTCAGAAAGTGTGTAACGAATTTCACAAATTATATATTTTTATGTAATTCATATTGTTGCCAAATTTCCACGAGAATTCACGTACATTCTTAAAATTATTGGTCTTATTTCATTAGTTCATACAAATGCAGTTTTTCTACATATGTTTATACATTGATTATTATTGAAACAATAAATTCTCTTTTTTTCCACAGGATCTCACCAGAGGGTGTGGATATCGTCTTGGATTGCCTTTGTGGTGAAGAATGCAACAAAGGATATGCTTTGCTAAAACCTATGGGAAAATATATTCTTTATGGATCTAGTAATGTTGTCACTGGCGAAACTAAGAGCTTTTTCTCGGCAGCACGATCAGTATGTTATCAAAATAATCTAACATACTTTAATTTAACTTTTTCTCTTTAAATGATTATATTTTTTTTTTTTTTCATTTTTTGTATACAAGAAATAATTTTTTATTATAATAAGCTGTAATAACTAGATTTTATATTATATTAAAAATTGTTCATTTAATTAAACTTAACGTGGAAAATACAAATTAAAAAAATTAATTAACATTTCTTCTTGAATGTAAAAGTTTATTATATTATTAATATACTTAATTCATATCATATCATTTTGAAAATATATTTAAATCGCTTAATCAATATGAAATTGACAATATAATTTAACAATATTTTATAAAGCACTTGTATATATAATTAATATTGATATATTTATATTATTATTATATTATATTATTATATATTATATTATTGATATATTATTATATTATTAT